GAGAATTCATCCCCTGCTATCACTACTATTGCCATCAGGCTGATCAGGTGATGATCCAGGGGTGGACAGGCAACTGGGGTGGAGGGAGTAATTATGAGATCAATGGGGAGCAGTGGGGCAATTCAGTGAACAGAGGAGTGATGGAGGGTGGGCATGAAGAGGATTATGGAGTGGGGGAGATCCACTGGGGATGGGAGAGCTCCTTCCTGCCCTCTCCCCCAGCCTTTATTTCTGCTCTAGAGCCAGAGAGCCCCAGCAGGCATGGAGCAGATTTGTAGCCCCCAGCCTCACCCCTACTCACCAGTCGTCTAGTGACAGATCTGAGCAGTGCATGGTAGGGTATTGACCCTTAATGTGTGACTAGTCACTAGCACATGCTAACCTTAACATCAACCGACATTCCTTACAATTAGCACCTGTTAACTCTAATATGTCTAACAACTATAATATGTAATTTCAGCCTCATTCTCAGCTGCCTTTACTACCTTTTTTAAACTGTATTAATTTCCATGGAGGGTTCTAGTACCTTTGATTCAAAGAGTGTAAGAACAGAAAAGTCAGGTTTCTATTTGTTTAAAGTTGGCTTTCCTTTAAGTGACATACCAGTTGGGAAAGAAAGGATCTCCCCAAGCTAGCTGGAAATTTGACTTCAGATATCAGAGGAGAATGTTTCCAGTAGGTAAAATAGTTAAGAGGATTTGCTGCTTTTAAAGTAGGGTTTTTAAGAGGGTGGAGAGGTGTTAGAACTGTGATATAACTTTCCAAATATACCGAGATTGCACAAGATATCGGAGATATCTTCTGGGACTACTTTGGAAAAGACGTGTTTTTCATTGAGGGCAACAGCACCATTTGATGTAAAGTTTCCTGGTGTTTTGCTCACCATATGATGATAAAGGAGTGGGTAAACAATTCTGAACAGAATACTAATATCCAGACTTTAGTGCACAAAGATCTTTGTTTGGAATTTGAACATATTCGGCAAAGACTGGATTTGAACGGATCCAACTTTCCACATACCTTACTCTTAACCTAATCTTAGTTTTCTAGAAGGGCTTCTTTTCCCCCTTAGAAAATAATTATTGAATAGTGGAACAGCACACAACACAGAGGGAGACAGGGATCCTATACATTTCTGGCTCTCCCTTTACTTTTCAAATTGTGTACATGAACTGCTCTAGTTTAAAATGCTTAGATTTACTCTGTCATCAGGCTAGTTAGTTCTTTGAGTCATTCCCTCAAGGAGTTCTCAGTACTGAGGATTCTGCAAACTTTCTAGCTTGACTTTCCCCTACAGATGCCATTTTCACTCCATAAACCTAGGTTAAGATTATTTTGGGGATCCTATATTTTACCCAGAAGGGAACTTGAACTGTGTAGTAGTGCTATTTATATTCAGCACTTAGTAACAGAGCATGAACATCCATTAATGCTCCCACATTAAACACAACTTTAATTGCAGTTTTAAAGATCTGCTGTTTTTGCTTTTTAGAGTCACAGCATTGATTAATAATATCTTAATAAAAAGCTTAATAGTGCATTAAATTTTTTTTAAGTTCCTTCTTATTATGAGGCAGCAATTTCACTTGGTAGTTCAGTAAATAGAACAATAAAAACCTGCTCTGATGTTTTGAAAATCTGTTGCCTGGTTGTAGAAAAATGGAGGAAAAATTTTAAAATCAACTTTAAGAAACTAAATTGTTGTTTGCTATAATACTTGGTATTGGTAGCATAGATATACATTTTCTGGAGTGTGAACCTTCAAGAGGAATATTTCCTTTTTCCCAACAGAGATTTGTCCACATTTTTGCTTTATTTTTTACTAATATTGGGCCAATGGGGAGGCGGGATATCTGAAAATCTGTAGTACAAATTGCCACATCTTTTTATTAAAATATTATTGCTTTTTAGGCACTGAATTTTGGAGATATGCCGAAGTACTTGTGGGAGATTTGGGTACCTGACAAACCATGGGTGGTAAGACATCAGATCCACTGAAATAAATAAAATACATACATACATATTTATATTAACTTTTAAGTTAAATATTTTGGGTCCTGTTCCCACTGAATTCAATAGGCAAAATTCCCACAGAGGTGACTGTGTTACTGCAGTTTTACATAAGCATAATTTCATTTATTTCAATAGCATCTTTCTGATGTAAAACTGAAATAATGCAGTGATATATTAGACCAACCATGTCAGAAAGTGAAGGATCTGCCCTGTAACAAGCCTAAACCACACTTAAAAAGCTAAGATTTCTCTTTTGGCTAAAATGGGTAAAACAGTTTTGGGAAAGAATAAATGTTACTTTCTCTTTTTAGTTTGAAGGAGGTCATTGTTATAGGCCCATTTCTACCATTATTAACCCCACTGGTGAGCAGTTGCTCATTCAACTAAGATTACAGTGCTCTACCAGAGTAACTTAGTTCCTTACAGAGTAAGTAACTGTTCACTGCTGGGATTATGTGGTTCACAGTCTGGCGTGTTGAATAGTGTCATTTCCTGCCAATAATCTTAGTAAATTTTGGTGGTTCTTGGTCCATACTACTGCCTTGAAACATAAGGTGATTAAAACTGTCCTTTAGCTCTGTAGTTACTCTAACATTTGGTTCAGAGGACATAGGGATTCCTTGCAAAGGGATTCATTGGATTCTCCTCCTGAGAAGCATTGCTCCTTTGCTGTGCAAAGACACAGCCTAGCCTAGCCCTTTGGCTTTCTTAGAACTACTTATAAAATTAAGTACCAGTCGATATGAGCAAAGGCAGCAGAATCCAACCATACATGTTTTGAAGGGGACTCAGTCGTATTTGTATTAAACAAGAAAACCCCACCTCGGTCATTATACATTTCACAGGTTAAGTCCTAATGTAAATTTATATTCAGTTTGCAGTTTACATAGATATATAGAATTGCTTCAGTTCTTCAAACCAGAAGCTTTCAGTGAACAATTATTTCTGCTACAGCTTTGATAGTATTAGAAAGCTAAGTCTATAACTTCTGGTTGAGCTAAGTCATGGCAGGACAGGAAATCAGGGAAGAACCTTAATAAGGGCATTGTATGATTACTGCATACTTTACTTTGCAAACGTCATGTTTTTGAACGTGTTTGTAGGTAATATTCTAAATAATCTGTATTGGCTGTTGAAGTCTTTATGAGCTACTGATAAATATTGAGCTTTTAACAAACCAAATGCTTATATGTGTGTATGCAATAGACTGTAATGGTTTCAATGGAAATATTATAGTACATCAAGTCAATAGTACGTTTGGGAAAAAAATGACCTTCATACATGTGAGAGTATGAGATAGACATGATAAGTCATTAAAAGTTATCCAGACAGTGATTTTAAGGCCAAATCGGTTCAGTCTTTGCAAGTTAGTCTAGGCTGCAGAGATTAAACTGAGAAACAACTGGACAGACATTCACTTTTGATTCAGGAAATGCAACCATGTACCTCCAGTGGCTCGGGCCAGAAGCTGGGGGGTGCTAGAGCATAGTTCTCTGGCACATAGCTAGCATGGACTGTATATTTGCTTCCTCTTCCTGCTGCCCCCGAGGTCTCTGGGATTTTCAGTCTGCAATCACAGCAGCAGGACTCAGGAGGGTTACAGCTACTTTTTACATGGTTACTTGTTGCATGAGGGTTGATGGAGTAAGGTACTATTCAATATTGGTAAGTGTAACATATTCTGCTTCTTAACTGGAGGGGTGGAGGGAGTTTGAATGTGAGGAAAGGAGTTTAGAGAATGATATCTTATGTGAGCTCTGTGTGAATATCTTTGTGGACAAGGGGAGTCCAATTTATAGCATGCTAATAAAAGTGAATAAGCATATGTTGCTTTCTGGCACTTTAGCAAGTGATGTGGCTCCATGTTAGTACTTTGTTCATATCATTACTTCTGCTTATTTAACAGAAAGAAAAACTAGCTGTTGGAACAACTTACTCAGTCGCTATGTGTAGGCGGTGCACGGGGGTGCACATACAGCCCCTGAGAGTGCTAGCACACCCCCTGGCAGCCAGCGTTCCACGCTTAGGTGATGGGCAGAGGGGGCAGGCGAGAGCACTAGTGCCTCCCCTGAGAGCACTGGCCGGGGTGTAGGGGCACCAGGAGAAGTGATCCCTGTGGTCCCCCCATAGCCGTTCACACTGACCAGGATGGGGGTTCCCCACAGCCGATTGCACCAACCCAGAAGTGCAAGCAGTGCGATCAACCATGGGGGGCCCCCCCTCAGTCGCTGACTTGCCGCTGGGGGGGCATGTGCTCCCTCGACTCAGGAGGCACCAGTTGCCCATGAACTTACTGAGGGGGTACAGTGGATTCTCCATCACTTGAAATGTATAAATCAAGGTTGGATGTCTTTCTAAAAAAACCCAACCTATAGGTCAACTGACAAAAATAATTGGTTGAGTGTCCATGGTCTGGATTATGCAAAATGTCTGAGTAGACAATCAACATGTTGCCTTTGGCCTTAAAATCTACATTTATGGAGTAAGGTGCTATGCAGTATTGGTAAGAGTGACATAGTGTGCTTTTTAATTGGAGGGGTGGTGGGTGGAGTATGAATGTGAGGAAAGAAGTATAGAGAATAAAACCATTTGGTGACAATTGACAAAAAGTATAATTTCACTGCTTTAAGGAAGAAGGTAAGGTTTGGAGAAGTTGAATTAGGGGTACAAAGCTTAGGAATGGTTTGTAGCAGAGGCATAGATATTGGGAATGGGGTAAGATCTAAATATGAAGAGCATGGAGACTGAAGGGAATACTCCAGTTCTTTCATTGCCATTTCGTGATAATGACTTTCATGAATTCGTGGTGTAGGTAAAATTATATTTTTCCACTATTATGTGGTGGTTCTCACAGATGTTTACAATAGGTAATGAGGACTAGGTGTTCCTGGCATAGGGTGGGGGTAGAGGAAGGGGAGGTGGGATGGAGGAGAGAAAAAGTTATAGACGTTATTGTTAAAGCAGAAATGGTTGCCACAAAGATGGTTTGGAAAGTCATTTATTTAAAGCTCACACACAGGGAGAGTCTTAGTAACCTTAATAAAAATGGTCACAAATGTTCTTTCTCTTGTAGTACTAACTGTCTGTGTCTGTTAGTGCTGATAGCAGGCATTTAATTCAGATGCAATTCAGTGATGCTAGAAATCCATTGGCTTTTAATTTTTTTTAATTAGGGATATTTTATTTAATTTTTAAAGCAAACTAGTCTTTAGGTTAGAGATGTCATTATAGCAATACATATAAAGTATCAATTAAATATGAATTCAAATGGATGCCATCCAACTAGGTCTATTCCCCGTCCTCAAATGTGGTCTCAGTGAAGCAAAGCAACTAAAGCTTTTTTATATAAATAAATAAATATCTATATATCTTGACTTCATTTCTCCCTAATTAGTACTGTGCAGCATACCGTTCTGATGCTTGATTCACCCCCTTGGTTCCTGCAACTTCCCTTGGGGATTTCCCAGCTGTTTTCCTCTCCTGTTGTAATTGAAATCAAACTTGTTCCAGCCTGTAATTGATAGTGAACCCAACCATTTTATGTTTGCCACGAGACAGATATACGGCAGAAGCACATGAAGTGGCATATGGAAAACAAAATGCTCTACTGGGGTGAAAGTAGATCTTTTCTTGTGCCACCATATTGTTTTGTAGCACTTCTTTCATTCAATTAACATATGTACACTTGTGTTGGTGAAATGAGAGTGTACATGTGCACAGAAAGACAGAATACATAATGGATTCAGTATATTTAAAATGGGCATATATATACCTCTAAGTGTGTGTCTAGATTCAGAAAGAACTGTGCTTCAGAAAACTCTCTGAGACAAATCCCAGCCCCTGCTTCCTCTTTGCTCTGGGATGTTGGGAAAAAACCCAGAAAAACAATTTCTTCTACATTAGACAGGCTATGTTTCCTGTTTCTACTTTCATGAAGTGTCTGGTAGGTCATGTAGAAGCATAAATGAGAGCCTCATATTTTTCTTCATTCCCTTACATTGATGTGCAGTGTAGGTAAGTCAAAATCTAGCTTGATATGAAGGAATAGAAACTATTTTCTTTCTTGGGTCCCTACTTTTATTCTGTTGCTCCTCCAGTCATTGTTAAAAGGGCAGTAGCGGATAATATTAATTATGGGTAGAGGAGAAGAAGGGGAGGAAATAATTCCTGAAATTGTGTTTGGATGATCAAGTTGCATCACATTAATTCAATGTCTCCTCCTTCCCCATTGAAGTTGATGGGGCTCTGTGTTCACTAAGAGAAAGAAGATACAATCTTACCCAGGGTAGCCAAGCAGGTTGTAATTAGCTTGAGGTAAATCTGTAGTGATTACAAGACAACTGTAGTTTTCATATGTTGCAACATGTAGAGATGAAGGCTGTGGAGGAACCCAGGATTTCTGTTCAGCTGCTAACACAAGTGAAAACTATAACTATCTTTTTTTCAGTAGCATTACAATGATTTCCTATGTATCAAATAACTTGAGATTTAAAAAACATTCCATAATTTCCTAGTGCAGATGAACCCTAGGAATTTTGTCACTGAATTCAATAAATACAGATTCCTACTCTTCTGTCTACTTTTTTGAATCCCTTGATGCTTTTTTCTCACTTTACTATTATGAGACTATTTCATTATTAATGAATAAAATAGCAATGTGTCTATTTGGATCTTATCAGTATCTAAAATATAAAAGGTTGAAACCTGATGCTAGTAATTATCACTGTTCCTTATTATTTTTTAACTAATATCATTTTAATATACATCTTCTTTTCTGTCAGGGGCTGCTTTAGATCATGTCCAGGCAAGGAGAAGAGAGGTGATGGTTTAATTCCATCCTAGCTTTCTATGATCCATATATAAAATATGCATTTGTTCTTAAACTTCCAACACAATTAATAAGCAAACAAACAGACAAACAAAAAAAAAAAAACCCTCTTTAGTCTCTTTATTGTAGTCTTGTTCCCTTTGTGGGGTGTATGGCTGTTCAGAAGTGCTCTGAGACATTCTTTGTGTGTAAAATCTATATAAGGGGCAGTGGGTGTTGTATAGATTTCCTCACATCTGCTTTTCAAGGCAGCACCATGTATTCCTTTCAGTACCTGCTACCGGTCATTATCAGCAGCTCAGGGTCAGGCAGGGTAAGGATTTGGGCCCTTGGGTGCATTGAACATAATTGAAGACATAAACTAATGCTGAAAGACATGCTTTGCCTGGCTCCAGAATGTAAGGGGGGGTTGAAGCTACTTGAAACTTGCTTCTCTGTAGTAGTATGCAGGACTGTACTCAAAGGCCACATCCAGATCAGCAGGGGCATGTGCTTGCAGCAGCACAAATAGTAGTGGCACAAATTTGTGTCACAACTTTGTGCCTTGCTGCAGTAATAATAAGCCTGGCATCTTCTTGGGAGTATCTCTGTCACTCTGGATAGCTGGAGAAACAAAGTTGGTGAGATGAAGAGAGGTGCATCCACTCTTCTCAGCTGGGGAATGGGTATGGCACTGGTGCACTTTTTAGCATGAGAACAGCAATTTGAAAGGGACAAAGTAGGAAATTTCAGATCTCTCCCTTACAAAAAGGACTTTATTTGTATAACAAAACAGTTTACCATTTAATTCTGCTCCCCTACACTTTTACAATTACTAAGTAAGTACACACAATGGCTTTACTTCTATGCATAAGCATACTATTGGATCAGAGATGGGTACTATCTGTGATATTGCAGTCATTTCATATTC